CGATCAGACCGACCATTATTACACGTCGCATCTTCACCTTCACAAGTATATTCATCCTAACTAATCATTCATCTCCATCTAACTCACGTTCCAAAACCAAATACACACACTAAAGTGTATGTACGGATCGCACCAAATGGAAAATACATAAAATGTAGCGAATATCAACAATGAAATTTTCTCTTATCCTATCTAATACTATATCCTAAAATCCTCCATCCAAAATTATACCATCACACAGAGCAATTAATTCGAAATCGCATTCAACATTTTCACCTATACCCAGATCTCCTCACACGAAGGAATGTTCTCCTCCATGTTCGCAGATGTGCGCAGTTGGATATGTATGGATTGTGGGTGTGAATCTTAACTGGGAAGTCGATTTTACGATCGGTTGTAGATATCGTTCGTAATTTTTCGTGAAATAGAGATTGTGTTTCGCAGTGGCAAAGGAGATGTCATGCTCAGAAATTATGTTGTCAGACGGAGAAGGGCTCACGGGTATGTTGTTAGATTGGATCGACATTGGTATATGTGCAGAGGAGGTGAGAATTTGATGGCAAAGTCGAATTTTGTTATTTATTGGAAGGATTGAAGTGGAAGGTTTTTATATATAAGGGGAATGTAGTTTGGATATTGAGCCTCATGATTCTGACTATTACATAGTTTGTGAAGTGAAAGAAGCTACATTTCAACCTTGAATAAGAATTTGCTGTGCTGATGGAATCGGGTAGCGGCGAACTGGGAGGATCGGTGTTTTTACTCTGTGGATAGGAATGAAGATTTAGTTTTGAAGGTGTATATGTAGGAATCTGCTTGTGTGTTGTCGAATTGCATTCACCTTGAGATTTGAAGAAGTTTTGGTTTTTCCCAATTATCTTGAGGATATGTTTTGGACGCAGTAGCATTCGTCTAAGGTGGTATGGTAGAAGCGATGAGTAACCGTTTGGTTCCATGCGAATCAGAATCTACGCTATTTCTCATGCATTTGTGTGAGATGGTAGCCGGCATAGTGGGCAGTGGTTGTATAGGACAGGGTTTTTCTTGAAGATACAGATATTACTCATTTCGACTGTTGAGCGATTGGAAATGCGGCGACCTGCGGCTGTGATACGGAATGGTCTTAAAGAGCTCTCTGAGCGATAGTTGAGATTTTTTTTGGGAGCAGCAGTTCTGGTGCAGGTATATAGGCGTTTTCAGTACATGCCAGTAGCATGGGTATCCGATGACAAATACGAAATATCTATGGCGAACGCATCACATACGGAGAAATTGTACTGGATAGAAAAAGCAACATGCTCAAAATTTCGACACTTGCGCTCCTTATGTTTCCAGTTTTCCGTTGCGCAACACGGTAGCTTCAGTTGTAGTTTTGTATGCAAAGACGTTGCTGAATCTGATTTCTGCAATAGGAGTTTCATTAATTTTCTTTTACTCTGATATTTATGCTCCATTCCAGTCGTTCAGTTATAGATGTCATTGCCACTTTGACACGTCAGCCTATAGATTATATCTTCTCATTCACCCTTCCTTTCACTCTGATCCACCATCGAGGTTGATCTCAATCTTTTCAAAGCCTTCATCGCTACTGATTGACTCCATCGATTCCCTGTAACCACTGCAACACCCATAAATGTATACCACGCGTGGAGTATTCTCTGGGAGCGCTCAGACGACCTTCGGCCGCCTTCGCTATCACAGTTAATCTCAATGCTCTCTCCAACGAACATCCACCATCAACAGCCCTCCCAAACCATGTTTTCTGACGTCTTGGTCAATTTCGAAAAAAATGTTTTTTTGACGCACAACTCCGACCTCCCCCTGTCAACATGCATCCTCAACCACCCTCCCAAACCATGTTTTATGAAGTTTTGAGCGTTTTTTGAGAAAATGTTTTGCTTCACATTTGATCTTTGACCTGCGACAGACACACACACACACAAACGAATTTCCGTTTTTTGACCACTTTTTTTCGACATGACCCTCCTTTCAGTCGAGAGAATTATCATATCATTCTAATATCAAATATATATGTGACGATTTCTGATGGAAGAGATTATATGTAGTTGATGTGTCTTTTATTTAATCCAAAGAAATCGCTCCGATACTGTATTTTCCTCATCCTGTTATAGTTCTCGGTAAATACAGTATCGCGTTACAAAAAACATCAAGCTTTATCGGTAATCTCTAAAATCTAGTTTGATGGCACACTGGGAATAAAGATAAAAGTATAGTATCGATGTCAGATTAGAGGGAGAGATAGATGTATCAACCACATCTCTCTATAAAGTGCATCGGCTAAGAGGCTAATATTTGAGTACAAGCAGGAAGAAAGAAATGAGATAATCGTTGTGTATAAAAAGAGGAAGAAGAGTTAAGGAGAGAAAAAAAGGAAGAAGATGAAAGATGAAGAGAGAATCGGGGAAGAGGGAAGAAACGTATACCACGGTCATCATCAGTGCCTAAGGAAAAAGAAGAAGTGTACAATCATAGATTGTCACAATATATCTATATATTCGTCAATCGAAAAGAATAAAGGAAAGGATAAGCAAGAAATAAAAAGATCGGTACAAGGTACTCAAATATGACGTGAACGATAAGAATAAAATCTCACTAGAAAGATATAGAAATAGAAGAAGAAGTTTAAGAGGGCATTGGTCGGTCAATCGTACAAATGGTAGGATGATTATCAGTTATTTGTATATCAAAAACAAAATAATCACCGCAATGAGTAACACTTATAGTTCCATTAGCCGTTCGATCACATGGAACGGCGTTCTGTGGACCATAATAACATATTTTACCAATTGTTGTTGAATAAAGTCGAGTTGGATAAACACCAAAAAACCAACCAAAAACCCATGAATAACCACATGGACGAAAATTTCGGCCAGTAGGTACATAATCAATGATTATCGTACCTGCTTGATCAACAAATCTTGTCCAACCAGATACTTTATTTGTTTTATTTGTTTCATATGATTCGTTGGGAGTGACATCTGCACGATAATAAAAATCATCAATAAGTTTATATTTAATACATTGAGTTGGTGGAACTACACGAGAAAAAGAAAGAAGAATTATTTCTATACGAAGTGTGTTTTCAATACTTCGCTGATATTTTTCAAAACCTAATGCAATGATCATTTCATTAAATTCGTCTTTAACTTTCCATGATGGTGGTTCAAATCTGATATCATCTGATCGATTATTACGAATTGACCAACGACGAAGTTGAGAGAGAAAATCTTTGAAAAGATTTGGTGGAAAATCAAAAAACAAATGACCTTTTTCATCACGTGGCCAAAGACGAAAAAGAGAAAGTTTTGTATTTGGAATATATGTTAATGTTGAATTTGTTGTAAACAAAGTTTCACCAGCAACGTTGATTTTCAAGAGTTCATCAGCTTTACTTTCGTGTGAAGCTGATCCCAAAGGTAATTTCCAATGAAATTCTATACTTTGATAATTTTTTATAAAAAAATTAAGACATTACAAACTTCATTTTACCTTTTTTGTCAAAATTTGATTGACAAAAAGTAGGGATAAGTAAAATCTAAGAAGGAGAAATAAAAAGCAAATATTTATTAGGAAGATTCCACTTACTAGAACGAATAAAAACATCGTACAAGAATACATTCAAGAAATATTATAAAGAGAATCTTTCTCTTTTCATATAAAACTTCTTTATATAATCAATGTTGATGAGTCTTTTTTGATTTATACCGAGTTGACAGATATTATTAGAAATTTGTCACAATCCAGAAAAATAATACACACTATCTCTTCTCTTTTCCATATAGAAAACTATATTCATCCTTTCCTTTCTTTCTGTCTTATACCGATGTTTATCATCTTTGGGTATATTTGTTATCTTTACATCATATTACTCTTTTGTCACTCAGAAGCTATCAAATTATTGATGATATTTAGATATTCTTTGTTGTACTTGGGTATTTTTATGTCGTGGATTTAACCCACTTTTGGAAGAAACAGATTTTAGTACAAAATATGCTGTTATAAACAATTCTGCTTTGAAATATTTTTATAAATGAGAGGTAAATTAAGTGATGATACTGTAGAATAGATTTGGAACATAATTATCAAAATGAAATATATTCATCGTGTATTTGTTATTAAAAAAAACGGTTCTTTTCTCTGACTGATCGCCATCAAAAGTAATGTTGTTTGATAGGACAATACATTCTGGATTAGGCACAAATAAACGATTGACCAAATTTGTAGAAGACCTACAAAAGTCTTTGTTTTCTAGAAAAGTTGGTGAAAAACTCAGTTTTTCGCTAGAAATGTTTGTTTCTGGACGATGACTCCAATTGAAGATGACCCTATTGCATGAAGTATTAACTTTCACATCCAACACCAGTTTGCACGCGAATGCGAATAAAGAATACTCGAATATGAATTCTACTTTAACTACGTTGAAATTTCTTTTTCTTCCTTTCTCGCATCGAAGTGTTTACTGTGACGTATTTTAAGTAATATCTACAAATGAAATCGTGTATAATTTTAAATGTCATAGTTTTGGAAAACGAACCATAATAAACCGAAAATTTCCTTTTCTCTATTCAAAATATTTATGGATCACAACAAACGAAGATGATTTAAATTACAAATTACTTATAATCCTTTTTCAAGCCACATTCTTGTATTACACAAACATACCGAGAAGATTTTTTACCGTTTTATTTTCTTTCTGATGATGATAAATATTGAGTTTGCACAGATTCAGATATCGATTGTGTTGTTGATGATATAATGATAGTATGTGTTAAAGAAGTGACAGAGAGATGAAAGTGATCATAATTACAAGGGTGATGACAAAAAGTGTGCTACAAATGCAAATAGCTATTCGTTGTTGTTGCATCAAAAGTATATCGTTTTCTGACTGTAACTACTCGATTGGATGACTTTTTTGCTTCTTTTCATACAAGTTTAATGTTCGTAGATGATGTTGAATATAGCTCATGAAAATACAACATTTCTCATAAATACCAACTCAGACAAACACAAAATCGATCGCAATCAGGTTCCAACTTTTTCAGACTTACTTATTTCAGGTATTACTTCAGCTTGTATTATGAATTAAATGTTGACAACAATGAGAATATATTCGTCGAAATAGTATGACGAAGAGAGGAATCAATGTTCGAAGTGTGACAGACAGACCATCAACACTACCAAATATTGTTGCAATAATATAGGCTCGATTAAAACGTTTTTCATATGTTTAAATTATACATTCACGAGATGCATATTGATGATAATATGAACTGAAATGAATTGTATTTATCCACTTTTTAATCGATAATTGTGTGACAATATTTTTCAGCTTAATATCAGATGGAAAACGAGTATAGTAATGAATGGATCTAATGGAATAACGTTATTAACACGAAAATCTACTGCTCTACTGGCTGTGTCAAATAAACGTCATTTCAGAACTAAACCTAGATCAAAGATTTCATTAGAATTTCAAAATGAAACTTTATAAATATTAAATTCATAATTTGATACTACTTAATAATCATACAGATTTAGAAGAAGAATAAATAAAATGAATCATTTCTGTATTTTGATAAGATTCGATTATTCCAATGAAAACCTTTCTTCCAACACGATTAGATGTCGTTGTTTGTGAATATTATGATTCATACTTTTCGTTCCAAACGAAATAAACAATTTTCATATTTGTTTTTATATTTTTACCAATATATATAAATCTGTGATTCGATAGAAATTACATAAATGGATAAAAGAAATCAAATGACAACTTTAGAATCATTACCAAATGAAATTCTACTGATGATATTTCGATACATCAATAGTATTGACCTTCTTCTTTCATTTAATGGACTTAATTCTCGTTTCAACGCTCTTCTTAACAATCAATATTATCCACATTGTTTTATCTTTGATTCTATCTCAAAACATACATTCGATACAATTTGTCAAGACCATTTACCATTCATGGCTAATCGAGTTATTTCTTTACACTTTGGAAATAATGAACATGGTTATACAAAACTCAGTCTCTTTCGATCATATATCCCATCATTTATATCATTTACTCAACTACGATCACTTACATTTGAATCTATTGTATCATATGAAATGCTGAGAAATATAATTAATGAATGCCATCAACTTTCTCATCTTAGTTTTTTGAAATTTATTATGTGTAAACTGGAAGATAATGATACCGATATGCAATTGGTTGTTGATAATATTTGGAGTTTACCTAAACTTACCCTTTGTACTCTTGATATTCGTGGTGAGGATTTTGGTTTTCTAAACGACGAACACTTTTGTATGCCAAAGACAGTTTCATTATCTATGGAATACTTAGAAATAAGTATGATGTTTAATTTCAAAGCAAATGAGATAAATCATCTGATTAAACAAACACCTCATCTCAAACATCTTTCTGTATGTCCAACGTTTACTAATGCTCTGACCAATGTGTCGATCATATAAATGTTCAACAATGACAAAATTAGACATGATCATCTGTGAATCCCTTGAGACTAATCAAATAAAATACTTTCTGCAACATTTTCCTAATTTAATTTATTTGAAAATTTGGATATTCTCTATGATAATTGATGGTGATCAATGGAAACATATCATATGCGCTTCTATTCTAAATCATAGAATATTTCAAGTTCGCACGGAAATGACATTCAGCCGGAATGAAAATATTGAAGAAAAAGCTGAGAAATTAATTAATTCGTTTCGAAGTTCGTTTTGGACAGAGGAACATAAATGGTTTGTTCGTTGTTGTGTATTTAATGAGACAATCATGTTAAGTAATTTATTGGGTTGGCAAGAAATTTTTTGCGGTTTTTCGAAAAAATTCTTTTTATTTTTTAACTTAAAAAATAAATTACAACTAGCTTTCAACAATGTATGCTCCATTACTATCTATGACTTGTTGCCAACGCTCTGGCAGAGAAAGGATCCCTCCCTCGTAGAAGTCTTGAGACTTTTGGTCGAAGAAGTTGGTCA